TGGCACCCTCCTCTTTGACCCCAGGGAGCCTCTGGCCAGCCTCGGGGAGACCCAGGTTGGTATGCAGCTTCTCTCCACACACCAGGAGATGGGGCATTGAGGGCTGGGCAGGAGAGCCCTGAGCAGAAATCAGAAACCCAGACCTAGCCTGCTGCCACCCCCTATACATGGGTCCTAGTACAAGCTCCTATGCAGGTACTCACCAGCTCTCAGGAGAGGCCACCTTATGCCACCCTGACTTTGACTTTGACAGCCACTGACAAAACAAATGGAGACCAGGAAGGTCTCACCTCTATGACGTCTGCCTGTGCCTGTGGCCACCTGCCTAGCACATGGGTCAGCCCTCACCTGGGCCTGAGCACAGTGAGCCAGAGGCAGCCTGCTCCTCCCTACTGTGCCGTCCCTTCTCTCGGAGTATGGAGAGCTTCTTCCACCTGTCCCCAGGCAACAGAGGACACTCTCCAAGCACAGAACTGATTTCCCAAAGTCCCCAGGGGAGCGAGGACCTTGCAACCACCTCTATGCCACCACAGCCCCACATAACCATCTGCACAGGAGCTGGTCTACAGCTCCTTCTCTGGCCTTGCCATCTGGGCCCTGTGGCTTCTCTCCTGAGTACAGGTACCCAAGCTGCCTCAGGGCCTCTCTTGATACCATAGTACCCTACCACCCTCAGTCCACTGGAAGAGATGTCTACCTGGCCTGGTCCAGGGACACAGGCTCCTTAAGGGACAAGTTCTGCTTGATCAGGACCAGCTTGGAGCACAGGGCACAGACAGGGGGTGTGACCACAAGGTGACAGCACTTGTCTCTCTCTCACTTGGCTCTCTCTCTGCTGGACTCAGTGTCCAAGCCAGCTACTGCCCTGTCAGGCCCCTCAGAGTGGCTGCAGGTCAGCAAAAATCTAAAAGCGGGTTTTCAAGCCTCCTCCAAGTCCCCTTCACACAAGTCTGCTCTCCTTCCCTAAAAGCCACCCACTGCTGAGCACAGGGACCCTGCCCTCGGCCTAGGAGCAGACGCAGAGCTGCGTGGGGCATGGGAGGCAGCAGGAGGCCCACTGAGCCCTGGCAGAAGGGCAGAGCCAGGCAGAACTGGCCAACCCTCCAAGACAAACGGCCCCGGAGCATCTCTGGGGCAGCACAGCCAGGGTGGGCCATAGAGCACCTCTCTCCTCAGACACACAGCCACGTCATTCCTTTGTGGGGAGACCTGCCCTCTGCCTTGTTTGCTGCCAGCCAGCCTCCTCTGTGCCAGCTGGGGAGACCTCGCTGCCTGTCTCATAGCTTAGTGGGTAAGGAACCCAAGGGAAAAGGTAGCACAGAGTCTGGAGAAGAGAGGACAAAGTGCCAACCACCACACACAGGTACCATGCAGACCTCAGTGCTGGCCCCTTCCCAACCTGGGCTTGAGCCGGCAGCCAGGCTCAGAGAATACCTCATGGGCATGCCTTTCCACCTGGCCTCCCCACCAGGTGAAGGCCAAGGGGACAAAGGGTGGCCGGCAGGGCATCCCCACCCTCACACAACTTGGTGCCCATCAGGAGCTCTCTGGCTGCCTCCACATCTGCAATCAAGACAACAGCAGGCAACTGGAGTGGAGACTGACTGTGTGCCCAGAGGCTGCCCCTGAAGCCAGCCCTAGGGGAACCCCAATCCAGGTGGCTGAGGATGTAGACAACCTATTTGTCTCCACTCCCATGGGCTTCCTAAGGCCACATGGGCTTTGGGGGAGGCCCAGTCTCTAGAGGGCCAGAGGACATACAGTTGTGGCTCTCAGAGTCACCTAAGGTTCTCTGTTGTGTGGCTGTGGTCAGTCAGGATGGCAGGGCAGAGGGTCTGGGCATGTTCCTTGGTGAGAGGGGCCTTCTCTAAATCTTCCTCCCACAGTGCTCACCAGGCACACCTGCAAGCCAGCCTGAGCCTCTGGCGGCTGCAACTGGGGACAGAGAGGCTGTCCCAACCATAGGGCACTGCTTCCCAAGACCAGCTCCACTTCCAGGCCAGCAGGATTGGCTCTGAAGAGGCAGGGTCCTCAGACTCAGGGAGCTGCTCTCTGTCCTGCCAAGTGGAACCCCTGCTCTGATTAGGAAAACACAGCCCCGTCTCTAGAGCCCAGGATGGTCTTGCTGCAGGGCAAGACCAGTGGGGTCCAACTGCCATACCTAGGAGGGAGGCCAGGCCCTTTGCAGCACCTGCCCATGGGGAGGGGAAGGAGTGACGGCAGGTCTCAACCCTCCTGGGGCAGAGCAACATTCCTCCACCCAGGTGAGCAGAGGGCCAGGGGCATCCCACAGAGTTGTGTCAGACTGAGGCCAGCCAGAGGAGTAGAGAGAGGATCGGGCTTGAGATTTATATGTCCACAGTGGGGTGGAGGAGCTCAGGGGAGAGATGCCTGCAATTGCGGTATACCCTACAGACCCATGACCCCAGACCTGCCATACATCTACCACAGAAAGCAGTGGCACCGATGACTGTGCGTGCACGTCACCACACAAAGGAAGGCTGCGGAAGCCTGGGCCTCCAGCACAGGCAGCACTGCGGAGCCTATGCTCCCTAACCCTGTCCTTTCTTGGCCTTATGATCGGTGTTTGTATCACTGGAAGTTCTAAAAGGTTTGCCATCCCTGGCCTAGACTAGCCCAGACCCTACCCCTGGACTTGGCAAAGGCTGACACTGGTCTACACCAAGCCCTGGGGACGCTTCTGAGCCCCAATTCTGCCCCTTTCACATTCCCTAGAGGCGATGCCTGTGGCCAAGGCCCACCCTTAACAAGGTGGAACCCAGGCTCCCAGTGCTTTGGGCACAGGATGAAGGCCATGTGCAGGTCATGGGTGACCTCAGCTGGTCACAGTGCTCTCCAAATTCACACAATATCCTGCCGTGGGGATATCAGACAACCAGATAGCCCAACATCTCAACCAATGCCCACTTCAGCCCTGGGGACCACCTGCTAGTCATGTACTATCCTGCCAACAGGAGGAGGGCTGTCCTTGGAGCTCCACAGAGATGAAACCAGGTGGCACTCTCAGCTTTTCATCCTGGGCCAATGCCCTTGCCTTGTCTAAATTCTAGGCCTGTGAGCTCAACCTGCACATCCACAACCCTGGGCACCTTTGCACCCTGGCACATGGGGTTAGAAACACATGGGAGCTGTTTCTAAGGGCCTCTGAAATGCCCATGACAGTGCTAGCCCACAGGACTGAAGAACATTGCTCCTCCTAGATACAGGCCAAGCAGGAGCCACACCACAGGAAGTGTGCCTCTCAGCAGCCTCAGGACACAGGAACCACCAGGGAGACCCAGGGAATGGCCAACTGGCTGTCTTCTCCCCCAGGAGGAGTCCATAAAGCTGCCCTGAGGGAGGAAGGTGAGCCCAGGCTGAGGGCCCTAGCAGTGGAGCTCATCCACCAGGGTCAAGGAAGCATGGACCAGCCTCTCTCTATGGTAAGGAACTGTGGGTAGCATTCCCGTGTTCTGCTGCCCCTCTAGCAAGGTATTTGCAGGAAGGGCTCAGAAATGCAAGCCCCACTAGTGCCACCCTTCGCCATCCTGTCAGCCCCATACTGTGTGCCCACTCTCACTGGAGATCTCACTTGAGGCCCCATCCCAGAACTCCAAGTATAGGTCCCTGCTCCAATGGTAAGCCATAGCAAAGTCCCTGCACTTCAAGCTTGACGACCAAGACCTATAAGTCTTCCTCTTGCCCTGGCCTGACCCCTAGATTGGTACACAGGCCAAGGCCAGTGTCCAACGGGGTCCTGTGCCCATGTGTCCTGGACACAGGCACCATGGTGGAGACGGAACGGCTACTGTGCCAGGGCACCACACAAGGGTCAGAGACACTGCAGACTGCAGCAGATACCCAGCCAAGAATAGAAACTTCAGGCAAAAGTGGCCCCCAAGATGGCCCACAGAGGACAGCAAGTCTTGGAGGCTATGGACTATAGAACATGATGGAAAGGGCCTGCAGAGACTGTGGTCACCCTGTTCCCACCAAGTCCAGATGGATACTGGGGTGGGCCAGCAAGAGGTGCTGGGCCTGGATGCTTCTGGATCTTCCCAAATCCCACAACAGTGATTATCTGCAGGCCACCAATGCACCAAGCCATGGAGAAGGCCAGCTTTGTTGCCTTGTATTCCAACAAAGCTCTAGCATAGGCTCCCTCTGTTCCAGGGCTAGGTCCAGCTCAGAGGAAGAGAGAGCGGAAGTCCTCCTCCCACCCAGATGCCATAACATCTCCACATCCACACTCACCCAGCCCACTGCCCTACGTGGGGAAGCGGCCCTCCTCATGCTGGGACCTGTCAACTGTTAAGGCCTGGTAGCCTATGACTGTCATTCCCTGAGCTGTGTGATGAGTGTTCTCATGAGAGGGTGGAATGGGCCAGACAGCCAGGCCAAGGCTGGTGCAGGACAGGCTTCCTGCCTACACTATAGCAGCTGTCAAACAACAGAAGCCAGGATGTAGCTCGGCAGGTGCCCTACCCTGCTCAGCTTAGGGCTCTGAACCTAATGGGCTCTGCCTTTGTCTCTACCTCACTCAGCTGTGAGGTCAGCATCCTTTGGCCCTGCAAGCTGCACCTTCAACATTATGTCTCCATGGCAACATGGACATGGGATCCCAGCATCCTATCTAGATGGGACAGGGGCATCCCAGGGCCCCACTCAGCTTGCTTGAGGTGGCTGCCTTGATGGGACCTCTGAGCCCCTCCAGCCTAAACAATCAGTGCCAGTGCTGGAATTTGCACTAGCTTCCAGGACTCAGCTCTTACAATGGACGCAAGGGTCCTTAGGGATCTGGAGGTCCTCTGCTGCACTGTGCAGTGTCTGGCAACCCCAGAAGACCCTAAGCTTAAGGCCAGGATGACCATGGCTTTGAACCTGACTTCTTCTCCAAAAACAGGCCCTTCCTAGGTCCCAGCCTCAGTTTTCTCATCCAGAAGCAGAGCTCAGGAGAGTGATGAGCTCTCTTTACAGGCCTCCAGCACAGTGTTGAAGTTTCACAACAGAGGGAAACCAGCCACCATGGGGTTCAGGTGGCCAATGCACTGGCTCTCCGGGGTCTTGGGCATGGAAGGCCTAGGAGACAGGCTGGGAGGTGGGCCCCTCAGTTGGAGGGGCTCAGCTGCCTGGGCTCACCCTGGGAGGGGGCAGGGTTGAGAGGGTCTCAGCTACCACGAGCTCCATAGGTGGGAAGATGAAGGTGGGGCCAGGCTCTCCACCAGCTCCTCATGCACAGTGTCCTGCAGGTCCCTCCGCTTGTGTTTGAGGTCACCTAGGCCGCAACAGCAGTAGCCCAGTGCATTCACACATTGCAGGATGCAGCTCCCCACAGTGCTTGCGGGCAGGCACGACCTGCACTGCTCCAGACCACAGTGGGTGGTGGTGACCCAACCTGTGCCACGGCACTTCCGTCTCCTGGGGGCCGTGGTTGGGCTTTCTGGTCCTGGTACAGGAGTGGGCCTTGGCCGCAGGGATGTACAACCTCCTGCAGCAGCTCTGGGCTGCAGCTCTGTGGGCTCCAGGCTTTCCTAATGCCAGATCCCGGCAAGACACCAGGAAGCAGGTGGGAGCCACATGCACAGACCCCTGGCTCTGGCCCTCAGAGGTTCACAGCAGTGCTCTGACCACAAGGGGCCCATCCCCACCCTATGGGCTCCTGGAGTCACAGTCACCCTTGAGGTTCCTGCTGGCCTGTCCCCTAAGCGCCACCCCGCCCATGTGCAGGTCAGTCTGGGCTTGTACCTCCCTTCCCTGTAGGACACCCTGCCCACCAGGAGATGACCCAGGTCAGTCCATCTTGGGGACGGAGAGGCACATGGGTGGAAAAGTTACCGGACACATCGGCAACCAGCTTCAGGCATAGGTCTCCCTACGTGAGGGGTGGGCAGAGCCCCGGGAAGGATGCCAGCAACTCCTTGGCTCATGACACTTGGTCCTCAGAGCTCAAGGTAGGTGGTCATTGCCAGAAACAGGCCCAAGTGAGGCACCAGTGTGGCCAGGGACAGATGGGGCTCTGTGGGGAGGTAGAGGCCTCTGGAGCTTGGGTGCTGACTGTGCTGGCCATAGGTCCTGGGCACCCAAAGCCAGCCTGCTTATCCTCTGCTGTGCACCCCAGGCCCAGTGCAGAGAGCCAGGAGGTCCTACCCTACTGGCTCAGCCAGTGCTTAGGACTCTCACAGAGCAGCAGGGCTGGGGCCACATGCCACTAAGTCTCTGACGGCCTGCCTGCACACCTCTGCCCACAGCAGCAAGAGGCAGCACAGACGGGGACTCTGAGGGACCACTCTGGGTAGATGGCCCCAGGGTTCCTGGTGCTCCCTGGGCTCTGAGCCAGGGAGGAGGTTGCAGCGTGTGCAGTCAGAGCAAGACTCGGCCCTCACAGCACAAAGCACTCATGGCTGCTTCACTGCTAAATCCTATGATCCTAACTGGCTAGGCAGGGCTCCAACAAAAGCAGGAAGGTTTTCAAAACAGCTTTCTCCTCATTGACAAAATGCAGTGGGCCATTTTTTGGAACCAGAGCCTTGGGGCCTCAGGGAAAGAGGAGAGGAAGCCCCGTCAGAGAGCGCACAGAGGACCCACAGACAGGCGGAGGCAGGCTGGGCCTGCCTCTTCTCCTTAGCCCTCACAAGGGGTGACCCAGGCTTACCAGGCAGTGGGCTGGAGAACTGGCAGACTTGGCCAGGCTCACCTGGTCACTCTGGCTGCGTCCTCCTGCTGAGGAAGGTCCCTCTCACAGTAGGTGAGGACACTGTGATGCGAGCCTCAGCCTCCCTGCTCCACACTCAGCAGATGCCTTGTCCCGACTGCTCACCAGCCAGCTCAGCCACGCCCTCAGGTGGACCAGGCTGGGCTGCCTGGGGAGCCCCCCCCCGTGCCCACGTCCTCACTGGCCCTTCCTGTCAGTGGGGGCCCACATTAGGGGACAGGCTGCCAGGGCTCTCTGCCTTGCAGTACTACTTAGTCCCAAAGAACAGTGTGGCCTGGAGACAAGAGGCCTTGAGGCCATCCAAGTGTCCCAGTTTCTCTGGGGCTATGGGACATTTCAGGATACTATGCCTTGGCCAGGCCTGCCGGTCTCTACCCGCTGCCCCACATGTTTCTAAAAGGCACAGGGTAAGAGTACAGAGCTCCGGGTGCAGAAGCAGAGAGGCAAGGGGCCCCGTGTTCGAAGCCCTGAGGCTCTAGCTGCGCCTGCCCCCACTCAGGGTAAATCCTCTCTCTGCCTCTGCAGAGTTCCTAGGAAGGGTATAAGGCTCAGGGCTTGAGACTGAGGAGGGACGAAGGAGAGCGATGGCCAGGCCCAGACCCCACCTTGGGCCTTTTTCATCTCTACCCACACCCAGGACATTGAGGCGATCTGAGGGTGGAGCGGGCACCCACTGGTGACATCTCGCTCTGACACTGTGGAGTCTAAGTCCTTGATGGTCTGATTCACATTTATCAAGTCTCCCTGGAGAAACAGGACAGGATGCTTTTGGGGCAAGAGCTCTAGGTGCAGAGTCAATGGGTCCCCTGAGTAAAGAAAGCACAGACCCAGACTGCCACTGGTGACCAAAACTCCCTTCCTGTTAGAGGAGGAGCTGTGGAGCCCAAAACTGCGAGAGACAGGGCAGGGTCTGGCCCCTCAGCCTGTTTGCCCCAAGGCCCAGGCCCAGACCTAGGCTTTCTGAGCAGCCCAGGGCCAAGACCTCCTTGTGCCCTTAGAAACTCACAGCCAAGCTTAGGACAGTGTCCCTAACACAGATGGAGGACTGACAGCTAGAGACTAGAGGGTGTTCAGGGCAGAACATTCAAGCATCCTAGCGACAGTGCCTGTAGGGCCATCACTCCTGCAGCACCCCATCCCTGCCTACCTGGGGTCTCCCTGACAGAAGGCCCTGTTTCCACCCTGCAAACCAGCACCTAGCAAGGGCCAACACACTGGTGCTGCCCAGCAAACCAGGAACAAGAAGGATGGACATGATGGTGGGAGGGTGTGGATGGAGAGGGTGGATGACTGACAGGATGGACAGCTAGGAGGACAGGCAGCAGACGAGTAAGAAGGTAAGCGGGCAGGCAGAGGTGGATGGAGGATGAAAAAGTGGATGAAGGGAGTGGGTGGGTGGAGAGTGAGCAGGCAGGTGGTAGCGCTCATGCTAGCCAATCACTGAATGGCTCCATGAGCTACGGTAGAGAGCGGTGAGAAACTTGGGCTAGGAGGCCTCAGAGGTCCAAGATCATGCTGGATTCTTGCATCTTTCACTCTTGGGAACTTTGTCCTAACTCCTTTTACCCAGCATAGGGGCCATCACAATCGCAAGGGACATGGCCACACGTGAGCAGACCCTACACCTAGGCTGGCCTGAGGGCAGGGTGCGCAGTCCACTTTCATCCCTAGCACCAACCAGGAAGCAGGGCCCAGCATCCAGCAGAGTAGGAAGTAGTATCCTCTCTGTATCCTCCTTGATGGGGGACAGCTGGGACACACACCAGCGTTTGCTGCCTGGACACCCTTGCCTTTCTTGACTGCCTCCCAGAAGGATGGCCCCTGCTCCAGCCAGCTGTGAGACCCCAGACACCCTCTTCTTTCCTGACTGTCCCTCACAAACTGGCTTCTTCCTGGCTGCTGTGAGACCTGGGGGGAACGTGTGGCCCTGAAGCCAGCTCCAGTCACCTAGCACAGGTACTGGTCATGCCAAGTCTTCCATGGCACTGGCATGTGTCTGGATTCAAGCTCAGGCTGGGGGGATTTACTTGCACTTGCCAAAACAGGTGGGGAGGGGTGGGTCGGGCTCCTGCCCCTGTACACCCACCTACTCCGAAGCTCATTCTTGGAGCTGAAATCGACTTCTGAAAGGGTCATTTCACCTCGCTGTGAAGTATTACAGGGAAATTCATTTTCCTTTTAGGAGTGTTCTGGGAAATGAAGCAATTAGCATGATCTTAAACCGACATGTACTATCAATTGCAATTCAATTACTGGGCTTAAATATGGTGCAGGATGGGTGGCTGCTTGGTGGAACCTGGCCATAGCCAGGAAGCCTGAAAGGAGCACGGGAGCCAGGGCCTTAGCTCTGCATGGCTGATGGGAGGAAGGGCACTGCCTGGTTTCTAAGCACCATCTGCTCTAGATGGGGGTCCCACCCTTAGATGGAGATGCCAACGTCTTGAGTTCAGGGATCCTTGCCCAGTTGGGGCTTGGAGAGATGGGCCCACCTCCACTTACTTTGCGTTTCCTGACCCAGCACTGCCAGAGACCAGGTCCTGAGCCCACAGCACAACACTGGCTCCAGCCCCGCATGTCTTGGTCTGGCCATTGCTACATGGGGACTCAGAGACTCTGCGGGGCCTTCGGAAGAGCTCCACAAGCAGCTGCTCGTTCATCTCTCAGTGCAGGGCCGGGGAGATGGCTCAGTGGAATAAGTGTGTCCCTGGCAAGCACAAGGGCCTGAGTTCAATCCCCCGGTTCCACAAATAAATAAATAAATAAATAAATAAATAAATAAATAAATCAGCATCTCTCAGTGCTACGTGTGGCTTAGTCCTTGCTACCCACTCGGCAGACGCAGACACCGAGTTGCGCAGAGGCTGGCCTGTGCAAGGACCTGTGACTATGAAACGTTCACACCGGCACCCAAAATCTGGGACCACATCCCAGGTCACTCCTCAAGACAGCAGGTCAGCACACAAGGAGGGTGGCAGGAGGCGGGGCAGGCAGTCACTGGCAGTGGGAGGCAGACCTGAAAGATGGGCCAAGGGCAGGGTCGCCATGAAGGCAGAGGAGGGTGTCCAGGACCGGTAGCCAGCACAAGTGGGTGTCCTGCTGGTCCCCTGAGGGCTTCCAGCATCCTCACACAGCTCTCCAGCATCCCAGCCATCTACACCTGCAATGCCCATCAGGACCACGTAGGATGTCCCAGCAGGACAGAGGCACTGGGCAGGATGGCTGCTGGACGTTCTGCTCTTTGCTGCACTCAGAAGGAACCGTGACAACTGCCACCAGGATGGGCTCAGACACGCAAAGTCTGCTTGTGTCACATCAGTGCAGGGACCCAGAGACCGCAGTGCTACAGTACATTGGGATGTTCTACAAGGAGGCAGCGCCTTACTGGGTGGTGATCAGGATGGCCTGTGATGTCCCAGGCATCACGGCTGCCTTCGGGAGATTTTCGCTTTTTGGCTCTTGGAGATTTCTCTTTCTCCCTTCAAGTTTGTCCTTTATGATGCCATAAGGACATCACATGGCCAGCCCCACAGCACCAGGCAGCACAGGGCCAGCTGCAGATGCCACAGCAACTCCAGCCCCACATCCTTGGGCCTCTCTGCAGCCTGCAGTTCCCGCTTGGGCTCATGATCCCATGTGAGGCTCCCTGATCGATGCGTATCACCCATCTGTGACAAAGCATAACCCTAGTCTATTCCAAAGCAACCC